GATAAAAGCATCTACTATCTATTTAGCATCATTTAATGCACTTTTATGCAGCTGATCAACTTAAAACTTTTATCTGATCGGTTGTCAGGTGGAATTTTCGAAAGTTCAAAAATATTAAAAAAAATTCTAACTAAATATTTCGTGGAAGGGCAGACTAAACATTTTCAGAGGTTGAAGACTAATTATCCTAGATAACACACACAAAAAATGAAGTTTTTTTTGAAGATATGCATTTTTAAGATCCAACTGAAAAGTCTGTCGTCAAGTACTTTTAGTAAAAATTTGTTATTCGAACACATCTATTGTGCTGTTATGACTCACTAGAAAGGTATTTCACTTGACCCATATATTTTATTTTTTAGTACTGTAAATTTTTAATGTTATTATATCAACCTAGAGCCTCAAAATATAAAATTAATAGAATCTGAAGCGAGGTCATGTATGAAATATTTTTCTTTTATACGTTTTCAAGTCATAAAAGTCAACTCAAACACGCCTAAACAAAAAAAAAGGTGTACTCGACTTTCTCTTTTTGATGAAATTATTGCCCATTTTCGGGTTTTTTTTCCAAAAAACTGTCGCAGGGGCCAGAGATGCTAATTGCTGCTTTAAAAGGGTCAATCTGTTATCTTTCTTTGGAATTTTTTTCGGCGGAATTCATGCTTATGCACAAAAAAGATCCAACTGTATTTGCACCGATCACAATCGACTGTTTTGTTAAAAAATTTTCTATTATTTAAAAGTTTACAAATATCTCGAAGCTCCATACTATAATTCATGTAAAAACACGTATGTAAGATGCATAAAATCCTAAATTATGCACCTTTATTAAACTTTTAAAGCCCATAGAAACAGATGTAAACAATTAAAATATACCAATTTTGCTTTTTTACCTTCTCTAACAAAGAGTTCCATTTCTTTTGTTTAATTTCAACTGGGTTTCCGCCTGTAGTAAATCACGACTTGTTTCAATTATATTTATTTATCACTAATATCACGATGCCGTATTGGTCATACTAGAATAACAAAAGAGTATCTTCTAGAATATGAAGATGAACCACAATGTATACCTTGCAACTGAAAGTATACTATTAAACATGTTTTAATTAATTGTATTGACTTTGCTGATATTGGTAGGAAGCATTTTAATGTCAATAATATGTATGATTTATTTGATAGTGTTCCAATTACAAATATTGTTTCATTCTTAAAAGAAGTTGGAATATATTATAAAATATAAAAAAGTTGTATAAATTTAAAATGATTTTAATTTTTATCACGTTATCTTAGTGTTGAATTTTATTTGTAAATAAGCAATTTTGCTTTAGACTTGAGTTTTAGTATATTGAAGGACATTTTGTCTGATTTAAAAAAAAATACTTTAAATTGTAAAAATATTTGAATTAGCTCTCGCCGCGATATAGCATTTTTGCGCTAAGGCGGCGTAAGGCAAACACCAATCAATCAATCACTCACTGATATCACTCTCTTAATTTATCAGCATTATATACTCTCATTTCATGATTGTACATACATGTAATTAATATCTGTTTATTAGCATATGATATACACAATACACAGAGTACAATACACAGCTTGTTTATAATATCATTTTATAGAAGGAATGTTTGATAACATAAATAAAATAATTTCAAGTAAACGTTAAGAAAACAGAAGTAAAGCAGTATCACTTTCCTTATTTTGTTTTTGTCAAATGCTAGTAAGGATTAACAGGGGCGGATCAAAAATTTTGCTGGGGTCGTCCGCACAAACGAACTTTCAAAACATTTCAATTGTTTAGTTGATATTAAGGTCATTATAAGTAGTAACAAAACAAATGGTAACACATGGTTTACAAAATTGATTTTAATAATTTTATTTTTCTCTGGTCGCCTCGTGGTCTTTTTGTAGCGTGCCCCGAGATGAAAAATATGAAACAATTCAATTGAGAAAACTAACGGCCCTAATGTATAACAAAATAATTTGCGAAAAACAAATATAACAGACACAAACCAACGAAAACAACTGAACTTGTTAGTTTTTTTCATTTTTGCAATTTAAAAATTAGATTTTTTAGTTTTTATTCAAAACATGTTATTTCACTTTTTCTTGAGACTTAACCATGAAATGAAGTAAAACTATGTTACTGCAATCAAACATTTTCAGTTTCATGTAATTGAATGTAGACATTTTGGCATATAACCAGAGCTACCATTATTAAGTTTTGACGTGAGGAATAAATTGCCCTAAATTATCTGCCCTTTGTTATTTTTATGAGACACTAAGCAATACTAATTCTATTCGGCTCGATTCTTTTCTACATTATGATAAATACCAACTTAAATGCAAGTTTATCATAAGGATTGGAGAGATACTTCAATTTTAAATTAAATCGTTCAGTAGAACGAAAAAAGGAACTGATAATAATAGACAAATGTACTAATCACTCAGATAAATAAAAGTATAAAATGTAATAAAGTGATGCGAAATGTAAGTTTGAAGAAAAATGTCATTTTGATGAACATAGCATTAGGAGTGAATTAGAAAAAGCATGCACAGAATTATGTAAGTAATACCCTTCAATGTAATAATCTGCTTGGATTTCGTATGTATGCATATAGTAGAATTTTTTAGACATCCTCACTTGTTCAAGCTTTGTAAATTATTATAAAACTCACTGAACACAATGTCATATTCTCTGACTTAGTTTATATTAGTTTTAGATCATGAGTTCAATAGCTTGCTATGGATTTTATGTTTAAAATTTGATGTTACACTTTCGGGACTGAAAAGATTTAAACTTTATTCTGTTTACTTTCTCAAATTGACACACATTGGTAATCTTAAACATCATAAATACTTATCTGAGTCGTTCAATACAGAAAATAGGATATTCACAGATTATATTTACTGTTTTACAAACTGTTGTGAACCAAAAAAGAAACGAAGAGTAGAAAATAATGAACAGTTTTAAAAAAACATAATAGTTCGAAAATATGCAAGTCCCTGTCTTACTGATGCCATTTATTAACTATCCTTTCGATATCATGTTTTGGCATTATACGTCTTGCTTTCCTCATACTGTTTATGAAGCATTTACACTGAATCACCTGTGTACTGATTACTACTTTAGTCTGGGAAACATGGCTTTATCATAAATCAGGGAGTTGGTTTTCTCGTTTGAAATGTTTTACATGTCATGTCGGGACCATTTAAAGCTTACTATATGGTATGGGTTTTGCCCATTGTTGAAGGCCGTTCGACGACTATAGTTGCTGACTTTTATTTCATTTAGTCAAGTGGATAGTTGTATATTTATAAATCGTACCATATCTTATTTTTATATTATTTTGACATACCTTTCAGATACTACGAGTACTCTTAGATCGGTACTTTGTCTTTTGTCTTTTTTTTATTTGTCTTTTTTGTGCTAGGTGTCGATCTGATGAGTCATTTACTTTTCAACTGATTTTAAGCTTGTTCTACTGTTGTGCTGTTACACCACTATTACAGGTTGGCGAAATGTTGAGCGCTCGCAAACATGTTTAACCATGATATTTTCTTTTATGACTGTCCTAAATCAGAAGCCTTAAATCAGCGCTAATATTTTGTTTCCGTGTGTCAATTTGTTATTCGTTTATGGTTTTAGCGTATTACCTTGTGTTGCTTTTCTACTTTGAATTATTTCATCTTGTCGTGTTAAAACCCTTTGCGGGAAGGGTTTAGCTCATTGTTGAATGTCATACGATGACCTGCAGTATTCTTTCATCATTCACGTCCTTTGGTCTCTAGTGGCCAGGTGTTTCATTAGTTATCATACCACATCTCCTTATTTTTATAAACAGTCTCACAGGAGTCTGAATCGCTTGTTTGACAAAATATGTCAAATCAAAATTCACTTAATAATTGGGATACGCTTTTTTAATTTGTGAACCAAAAGACTAGATAAACTAGATGTGACTGAAAAGCTATTAAAAACATAATCGTTCGACAAAGATAGTCGCACTGATTACACTAAGAAACTAGAGACTCTTATGAGCCTGCAAAGCTCGTCTTACAAACATATGTCATAATAGAATTAACGTAAAAAAGAGGATAAAATACAAGTCCCTACCTCCTAAAATATTTGGCAATTTCAAAAACGTGTTTTATAATACAGACACACGGTGAAGTTACGAGAATCTGGTGGAATTTTATTAAAGGTTCAATTAAAAACAATATGAACTTCTGTGTTGACATGAATTATCATTGATATGGTCATAATTATAAATTTACTGTTTACAAAACTTTACATTTTTGAAATACTAAGGCTTTTCTACCTCAGGAATAGATTACATTAGCTGTATTTGGCAAAACTTTTAGGAATTTTTGGTCCTCAATGCTCTTCAACTTCGTCATTTATTTGGCCTTTTTAAATTTTTTTTTATTCGAGCGTCACTGATGAGTCTTGTGTAGACGAAACGCGCGTCTGGCGCAAATACAAAATTTCAATCCTGGTATCTATGATGAGTTTATTATGAACATTAATCCGTTAGAAAAAAGGGTCGGACCATTATCAGCTTTGGGGGAGCTAGGATTTTAAAGTTGAAGGTTCACTTTTTTATCGAAAAAAAGATTAAATGGCTATGAATATTTGCTTTTATGTAAGAAAAAGGCTGTAAATCCTCCACTAAGAAAGAACTCTTTGCCTTTTTTGCTATTAAATACATAGACATTCTGTTGTTGCCTTTTTAAGTTGAGTATCAAAATGCAAGGAACGATGTCCATGTATCTTAAAAACATAAAATTAAGATTTATTCAATATAAGCAGAAAATGTCAATGTTATACAAATATTTTAACATGCTACAGAGTCCAGCCCAGCAAATGCCTTCAAGAACTTTTGGGTAAAGATATTGCATAAACTGACATTGCAATACAGCGTGGTATTTCTGACTGATCGGGGTTTTTTTTGTGTTTAATTACGAGCTTTTGGATAATAAAAACGCAACAGGTAACAAAAATGAGTGAGTTTTGATTGAAAAGGGGTGGACTTTTCCCATCTGGCCGTAGAACCAACTCTACAGAGAGGGTCACTGCTATGAGGGATGCATAAATACGCAGCCAAATACGATCGGAATGGGGGCGTTAAATTCGATGACACATCTACGGACAGTACACGTTCTCTGTACGTTATAGAATTTTTACATGGAAATGTTTGATTGTTCCGTTTATGGTCGGTTGCGAGGCAACATTACTGTTCCTATTCAATACACTCGTTTTCCATTGCAGCCAACATTTTCAACTCCAAATCCCTGTCGTAGAATTTAGTAAAAAAAACCTACGTATCAGATTTATTTTTAATTCGTTCTTGTCTCAAATATGCCTCTCATTTTTACCACTGCACGTTAAGTAAACAACCATCATTAACCAATACCCAATAGGTAGGCATTTCAGCCCAATCGAAATTATTTAGCTTATATATTTTAAATATTAGATGTCAGTTATTTTTTATCATTATATAATTTAGAATGCAATATGCATTTATAAAGAACCTTCAGAATCTTTACTGTTTCCAGATTTTGATGAATGCATGTCTTCTCCGTGTAAACATGGGTCCTGCAAAGATCAGGTGAATAGTTATTCATGCACTTGTAAGGCCGGATTTACAGGACAAAATTGTGAAATTGGTAAGATATGCTATTTTCACTTAAGAACAGAATAAAATATATTCTAAAAAAGAAATACATAAATCTTGAAACTTGTCAAGATCCGGAGAGAATTTAAACCTTAATATATGGACGCTTGTCAATCGTTGATAACTTTTAAATTTCTTTCCATAATAAATATATAAGTCTAACGTTTTGTGCAACGAAACTAACGATACTCATCTCCTCATTATCATGCACTTTTCCGTTTTAGAATGACGCGCAATGAATTCAAAACCTCATAAAATACAAAGAATTGCTTTTCTCTCTAACAAACTGACACAATGTTCTATCGCTGACAAAAATAACGTTTACAAATACAGAGATCAAATATGTCTTAATCAAGTTACAAATATATAACATTTCACGTTTTAGATATCAATGAATGCAAATCATCTCCTTGTCACCAAGGTACTTGCCAAGATAATATCAATGGGTATTCCTGCACATGTAATCCTGGATACACGGGCACTGACTGTGAGCTGGGTAAGTAGTTGCTGTCGTAGAATTTCTATTTGACCCTTATCAAAGTCAAATATGTCAAATTTAATTTCCAGATAAACTACATATATCAAAAAGTACGGATTTCTGCATTTTGGTACTGTAAAATATCATAGTTAATAAGGCCTGGATATTTGAAGTCAAAAAGCTGTGATATGAAATTTTTCGAAGAGCTGTCTATAGTAGTCAACGCTTCTGTGCTGGCATGAATTACTAGTACTTCTTTTATCTGTTAATTAACAAGCTATTAATCAGATGTTAAAGTATTTCAAACATTAAGTTCTTTCTACGTTTGGCAAATATAGTCTTAGTCACATAGACACACAGGAACCTTTTTTAAATTTTTTTTTCAGTGCTCCTCAACATCGTTATTGATTTGGCCTTACAACTGTTTTGATTTATTCAATTCCCTCAGTTTTTGTGTGTTACCTTGATTTGTTTCCTACATCTTCTTATTTATATCGGTATACTAATGTTTCCGCAATGTATTCTGGGTTTAAGGCAGGGCTGTTTTTCTCCGTTATGGTAAAAATAGCGGTGACCATAGCGAAATGATAAACTTTTTTGTCGATTTTATGCCAAAAATTTATAATTTTTTTTCAAAGGAAAATACGCCTTCCACCCCATCTGATTCCGTCACTGTCATAGATTGCGATAAAGTCCACACTTTTGAAAGCAACAACAGAAATTATTAATGCCATAGAAGAACTAATATTTCAGAACCCAACCACACTGTTTGTATTCAAAGTAGGAACCACAATCAGTGACATTTTGTGGGATATGAGATTATTTCAAGGATAAGAAGAATCTTACAAAATTCTGTTTGTGATGTTTGATGGAAGGGTATATATAGCTTCATTCATTGTGAGATTTTCTAAAGTTGCTATCATGAGTTCGATATCCATTCTTATGCACATTTCTGTTTTAGCACGACACACAATGATTTGAAGAACTCATGTATACAATTCAAAAAAGTATTTGTTTCTCAATCAAACTGACACAATGAAAATAACATTTAACAAATACAGAGATCATAGATGTCTAAATCAAGTTAGAAATATATAACATTTCACGTTTTAGATATAAATGAATGCAAATCATCTCCTTGTCACCAAGGCACTTGCCAAGATAATATCAATGGGTATTCCTGCACATGTAGTTCTGGATACACGGGCACTGACTGTGAGATAGGTAAGTAATTGCTGTCGTATAATTTCAATTAGACCAACATCAAAGTCAAAATATGTCAACTTTAATTTTCAGCTAAACTACATATATCAAAAAGTACGGATTTCTGCATGTTGGTATTGTAAAATATCAGCTGCGAGGCACAGCATGAAGCTTTTAGTGATCGCATTGAACTAATTTGTTAATAAGGCCAGGACATTTGAAGTCAAAAAGCCGTAACATGCAATTGTATTTAGGACTGTGTATAGTAGTCAGTGCTAATGTTCTGAATTAAATTACTAGTACGTCATGTTCTGTTAATCAATTATTAATAAGATGTTTAAATTATTTCAAACATTAAGTTTTTTCTACTACTGGCATATATAGTCCTAGTCACATCGACAAATTGACATCTTTTTGAAATTTTTGGTTTTCACTGCTCTTGAACTTCGTTATTGATTTGGCCTTTCAATTGTTTTGATTCATTCGATTTCCTCAGTTTTTGTGTGTAACTTTGATTTGTTTGTATCTCCTTAACTAGTTTATGAGATTTGAACATCGGTATACTACTGTTGCCTTAATGTATTCAGGGTTTGAGGCAGGTCAGTTATTCTCCGCAATGGTAAAAATAGCGGGGAGCATAGCGAAGTGATTTTGGTTTTATGCCGATTTGATGCCAAAAAAATACAGTTTTCTTTCAAAGGGATTACGCCCTGTACGCCCTACCGGATTCCGTGACTGTCATTGATTGCACTAAAGTCAACACATTTTAAAGCAACAACAGAAATTAATAAATTTTTTTACCGATTCTATGCTAAAAAATGATAGTTTCTTTCAAAGGGAAATACGCCCGTCCCATCTGAATCCAGCACTAATTGATTGCGATAAAGTTTACACATTTTGAAGCAACAGCAGAAATTATTAATGCCACAGTAGAAGAAATATTTCAGAAGTCATCCAGACTGTTTGGTTGCAAAGTAGGAAACCACAATGAGAGATATACATTGTATACGTAGCGCAGTAATGTTACCGGGGGTAGTAACCATCTTTCTCTTAAATTCGAAAAATAATACTAAACCCTCACTAAAGGTAAAACCCCAAGCCAAAATACTCGCCACCCCTTCAAAGTTGATGGATCCACCGCTGAATTAAGGATGTAGGACTATTTCAAGAATAAGATGTAACTTACAAAATTCTGTTTGGGATGTTTGATGTAAGGATATATATAGCTTCAATCTTTGCGAGATCTTCTATAGTTGCTATCAGGAGTTTAATCTCCATTCTCATGCACATTTCTGTTTAAGCATGACACGCAATGAATGGAAGAACTCGTACAATACAGGAAATTCTTTCTTTTTCAATCAATCTGATACAATGTTCTATCATTGAAATAAAAATAACATTTAACAAATACAGATATCATAGATATCTAAATCAAGTTTAAAATATACAACATTTCACGTTTTAGATATAAATGAATGCAATTCATCTCCTTGTCACCAAGGTACTTGCCAAGATAATATCAATGGATATTCCTGCACATGTAATCCTGGGTACACGGGCACTGATTGTGAGCTGGGTAAGAAATTGCTGTCGTATAATTTCAATTAGACCATTATCTAAGGTATATGTCAAAACTTTGATTTTCAGCTAAACTGCATACATCAAAAAGTGCGGATTTCTGCAAATTTGTACTGTAAATATTATCTGCGAGGCACAACATGAAGCTTTTAGTGATCGCAGTGAACAAAGATACTTATTGTGTCGAGGGCAGCTAGTATTTTAAAATTTCAATGATATGACGAAATTTCTAAAAATTCGATTAGTCGGTTGTATTTGTGTGTTTTTTACAAAAGACTGGTAGGGACATTTCGTTGATAAAATTTCTCAGTTCAAAGTTGAAATTTCTCAATCATTAACAGAACGGGTCATTGTTAATAAGGCCGGGATATTCAAAAAGCCATGATATGCAATTGTATGACGAGCTGCGTATAGTAGTCAGCGCTTCTGTGGTGCAAGAATTACTAGACGTGTAATACTAATATATATACTCGACGCTGAGGTTGACAAATTAGACTTTAAATGCGGGTATCGTATCAAAACACAAAAGTGATTTCAGATTTAAATTACCTGTGAATCAATTGAATCTTGTGTTTAAACTGCATAGTACTGATGTCCACGTATATTTGTTCCTTATAAGTCGTCCCTTTGATCTCTTTATTATGGAGATTTCATTATAGATATTCATTATGGAACAAAAAGTCTGTAACAATAATTCCGTTAGGAATAAAAATGATGAATCCCATAATATTTCTTCTTTTGGAATACTAGCAGCAGGAGGCAAGAGTTTTATAGATTCTATAAAATCTAGAAGAAAAGAAAGAGACGGAAAGACGAGAAAAAGAAGTAATAGATGAGAGAAACAACCCTACCCCCCCCCTTCCCCCGCTAACGACGGACCATTTAACTTAAAGGGGTGTTTACCCGAGATCAGAACTTTTGGACGGGTTGTTAACAATGCAGAACTGACTTATTTTATAATAGGATGACGGAAGTCCAGCGGGCGGACGTACAGGCGAGCGGGAGAAGAGGGTACCCGTTTTGAGTAATAAACTCATAACGTAGGAGCTTCTGCCGCGGTATTTATATACATAGGAAATGTGCAACTCCTTTATGGATTCATTTTGGATATAGTTTGCTTTTTTTTGGAAGGTTGAACCTTCGTGAATGTTTGGCAATTGTACATCATGCATATGACCAACATGACACCTCTATAGCCTGGCTTGCCCTTATTAGATATTGGGAATGATTTTATAATATTATAATCTGTTAATGCCTACTCAGGAAATACTTAATTTCCTTTTTTTTATTTCCATGTAAAATGTTACTGGTTCGACCCAACGAAATGAAAATCTTTGGAAAAAGACATCCTTTAAATATTCAAGCAAAGTTTCAAAACATTTCGAATTGTAGTTTTGAGGTCTGAAATTGTCTTACCCGTTTGGCCAGTCTTTCAAACAGTCCGAAAAGCCTTAGGCATGGTGTTTCGCGTAACGCGTACGGGGGACATGGAAATACCGGGCGTCCGTCCGTGAACGTCCGTCCGGTCTTGTTAGCGCTCTCACGGGTACAATTCTTGCCATATTTTTATAAAACTTATACTATAGGTTATTATCAGCAATATCTCGGACAAGTTCTATGATCGTTGCCGATCGACTTTTTTTAAAAGAGTTATGCCTCTTGGAAATATTAAATTTATGGAAAATGGCTTCGTTAGCGCTCTTACGGGTACGATTCTTGCCAGATTTTTATAAAACTTATACGATAGGTTAATGTCAGCAATATCTTGGACAAGTTCTATAATGGTGGACGATCGACTTTTTAAAAAAGAGTTATGCCCCTTGTAAATATAAAATATGTGCAACGCGGGGGACATTGGAACTCTGTTCTTCTATTTATATTGTATTTATATTGTGTCCTAGATCACGAGGGGGGTTTTTAACAACATTGACTACCCATGAGGGTCTTGGACGGTCATAGATCAAACTTATTCGTTCAGTGTATATTTACTTGTTTTTATGCCCCACCTATGATAGTAGAGGGGCATTATGTTTTTTGATCTGTGCGTCCGTTCGTCCGTCCGTTCATCCGTCCGTCCGTCTGTCCCGCCTCAGGACAAAGTTTTTGGTCAAGGTAGTTTTTGATGAAGTTGAAGTCCAATCAACTTGAAACTTAGTACACATGTTTCCTATGATATGATTTTTCTAATTCTAATGCCAAATTAGAGTTTTGACCCTTAATTTAACGGTCCACTGAACATAGAAAATGATAGTGCGAGTGGAGCATCCGTGTACTATGGACACATTCTTGTTGTGTATATGTCCTTTTGATCGAGTTAAGCCATCCCAATTGATATTTTATTGTGTGTCTTTTTTTGTTGTAAAGTTACACCACAGTCGCAGATTAGGTGAAGGTTGGCGCCTGTTAAAACGTTTAAACTCGCTGCAATTTTATGCACCTGTCCTTAATCAGGAGCCTGTTGTTCAGTGATTGTCGTTTGTTGGTGTGGTTCAAAAGTGTTTCTCGTTTTCTCATTTTTTATATTGATTAGACCGTTGGTTTTCCTGTTTGAATTGTTTTACACTAGTCATTTTGGGGGGCTTTATAGCTTGCTGTTCGGTGTGAGCTAAGGCTACGTGTTGAAGGCAGTATTTCGACCTATAATTGTTTACTTTTTACACATTGTGACTTGAATGGATAGTTGTCTCATTGGCACTCATATCACATCTTCTTATTTCTATTAAGATACCGATTCTTTGTGAAATCTATACACTAAATACTTCTAAGTCGACCGTAGAAAAACTGCAACAACTATGTAGCTGGTTGCATAAAATGCCTACAGCGTTAGGGCCAATTAACGGGCACAATTTTATTCCAGATACCGGCATTGCATACACACGCAGGTTTTTGTTGACAATATATTGGAATCATATACATTATTTTTGTAAAATTCACATGCAGTATTTTTCCAGGACAACAGGATGATGTTCAAAAGTTTAATTTACTGCCTTCAATTGACCAGTAATGGAATTAGATTTCCCTAAGGATTTAGTTAATAAAAAATACCGCATGTCGTTCTCCGCTCGTTACCCTCTATAGACGTCATAAACTGAGAGCTACATGTAGATCAAAAAGAATATAATGTAAAAAACGAACTTGCGATTATCGTTCGGGTGTCGGGTATATGTGGAACTCGCTATTAGGCGCTTAAAAACTTTTAAAGTCAGTGGAAGCCTATGGAGACATCAGAAAAAAAAATCAACTAGACCAGACTGTGGAGCTTTGTGCGGGTTTAGTAGAAATTGATTGATTGTTGTTTGTTGTCCGTCCAGTGACAAATGTTTTATGCATTTTCAGGACGATGTAACAGTAATTATTATAAAAAAAATCAAACTGGCTTGTTATGGGATTTTTTATCAGATCTAGAAGTGCATAGATATAAGAAGAAGTGGTATACCTGAATTACCATCAACCCCCTCCCCTGCTTACACGTACACCTTTCCCGCCCTATAATCGTAAGCAATGATATCAGAAAATAATCATTCTAAATTAATATAATCTTAAATGAACCTAGAAGTGTGTAGGATACATGGTTAACATCACGCAAATTGAATTTGACCGGTTTAAATCAATAATCAATGTTTTGACACAGTCCCCACATTTAAAGTCTAATTTGTCAACCTCAGCGTCGAGTATATACCTTTTTGTAACACGTCTACTAGTACATCATTGTCTGTCAAATATTAATACGATGTTAAAATTATTCCAAACATTAAGTTCTGTCTACACCTGACAAACATAGTCCTAGTCACATCGACACATTGACATCTTTTTGAAATATAGTATTTTTTTTTATTAGTTGTTAAAATAATTCCAAAAAAATGTATATTGTTTTTTTAATCAAAAAAGAATTTTTTCTTTCTAGCCGATTGTAACCGGAGAAAGCAGTGACTGTGAAAATGTCAACAATTACATTTGTATCCAATATCCTGTTTCTAAGAAAAAAATACGGCCTTGTTTATATGCAATACTATAAATACGGTATAATATCTTGTGGGTGTAATTATTTCAAAAATAAGAAGTATCTTACAAAGTTCTGTTTGGGATGTTTGATATATAGAGGATATCATTTGGCTTTTTCAATATCACATCCGTATTAACCCGAGACTCCAATATAATCCCAAGAGCTCTGCTCGAGGGATTATATTGGTTGAGGGTTGATACGGTGTGTGATATTGAAAAAGCCATATCATATACACTTTATTATAAACATATACCTCACGTAGATGTTTTTTATGTGACATGACTTCATACAGATAAGGATGTTTGAAATGACGTCATACAGATTAGAGGTTTGATAAAGCCTTTGCAACAGTGACTGCAATCGATGACGTGACATCATACAGATTAAAGGTGTGATATAGCCTTTGCAACCGTGCTGATATCGATATCATCACGGGTGGCTGATACAACCCGCTTGCCCATGATTGTATTACACATACAATTTATCTGTATTTACTACTAAGTACATAATAAAAGGATATATAAAGCTTCATTCTTTGAGAGATCTTCTATAGTTGCTATCAGGAGTTCAGTCTCCATTCTCATGCACATTTCTGTTTTAGCATGACACACAATCATTTGAAGAACTCATACAATACAGACATGCTTTCTCTTACCATCAAACTGACAAAATGTTCTATCATTGAAATAAAAGTAATATTTAAGTAATACAGAGATCATGTATGTCTAAATTAAGTTACAAATATATAACATTTCACGTTTCAGATATAAAAGAATGCAATTCATCTCCTTGTCATCAAGGTACTTGCCAAGATAATATCAATGGGTATTCCTGTACATGTAATCCTGGATACACGGGCACTGACTGTGAGCTGGGTAAGTGCTGTCGTAGAATTTCAATTAGAGCCGTATCTAAGTTATATGTTTTAATTTTTATTTCCAGCTAAACTGCATATATCAAAAAGTACGGATTTCTGCATATTGTTACTGTTAAATGTCAGCTGCGAGGCACAACATGAAGCTTTTCGTGATCGCAGTGAAGTAAATTACCAATTCTGTCTATAGCAGCTAGTATTTTAAATTGTCAATGATATGACGAAATCAAAAAATTCGAAAGACTCGTAGGGACATTTCGTTGATAAAATTTCCCAGTTCAAAGTTGACATTTCTCAATTATTAACAGACCGGGTTATTGCTAATAAGGCCGGGGTATTTGAAGTCAAAAAGCCATGATAGCAATTTGATGAAGAGCTGTGTATTGTAGTCAGCGCTTCTGTGCTGGCATGAATTACTAGTACGTCATTTTCTATTAACTAACTATTAATAAGAGGTTAAAACTATCATAAAACATATTCTTTCTACCTTTTTGAAATGTTTGGTTTTCACTGGTCCTCAACTTCTTTATTGATTTGGCCTTTCAATTGTTTTGATTCATTCGATTTCCTCAGTTTTTGTGTGTAACTTTGATTTGTTTGTATCTTCTTAACTAGTTTATGAGATTTGAACATCGGTGGACTACTGTTGCCTTAATGTATTCAGGGTTTGAGGCATGTCTGTTATTCTCCGTAGTGGTAAAAATAGCGGGGAGCATAGCGAAGTGATTTTGAATAATGTCATCATAGATGGAGTTTGTTTTGCCGATTTTGTGCCAAAAATTAGAATTTTATCTTAAAGGGAAATACGCCCTGTACGCCAAAAACTCGTCATTGTTAATTGTTAATGATTGCGATAAAGTCCACACTTTTTAAAGAAACAACAAAAATATTGATGCCACAGTAAAAAGAATATTTCAGGACTCAACCAAATTGTTGTATGCAAAATAGGGGACCACAATGACTGACATACATTGAACACGTAGCGTCTACAAAAGACTCATCCGTGACGCTCGAATAAAAAAGTCAAAAGGCCAAATAAGTACGAAGCTGAAGAGCATTGAGGACCCAACATTCCGATCATTTAGAGGTATAGATTTCAGAAAGACAAATACGTGATTTGTTACAAAATGACATCGATCTCGACAGAGATAAATCAAAGACAGGGAATACAAAAATCAGATCTAAAAGGATTTGAAATCAAATTAGATGGAAAATCTTGCTCGCTAAAAACATGTCAATTGGCAGACGATACTCAATTGTTTTTAAAAACACGCAAAGAAATAAGTATAGCCCTTAATATTATTGAAACTTTTGGAAGCCTTTCTGGACTTAAATTGAATAGAAATAAAACAGAAGGTTTGTGGCTTGGGAAACTTAAACATTCAAAAGATAAATTAGAAAATACAAACTGGAAACAAGACCACATTAAAAGTTTAGGAATATATTTTGGATACAATTATCAAGAATGTCATAAATTATCACAGAAAAGCAAATAGATAAATGTGAAAAATTGATTCAAGGATGGAACAAACGAAACTTAACATTATTAGGAAAGACAACTGTAGTTAAGTCTTTAATTTTACCAAACCTAACATACATTGCATCAAGTATGATAATACCACATGAAATAAAGCAAAAGTTCAAAAATTTAATATATAATTTTATATGGAGTGGAAAAAAAGATAAAGTTAAACGTACTATATAATGTAAACCATATCTTGACGGAGGATTACAAATGATTGATTTAGACTGCTATCTAAAATCATTACAAATCGGATGGGTTTTAAAACTAATAAAAAAGGAAAATGATAACTGGAAAATTATTCCAAGATTTACCTTGATAAATTTGGAAAAGATTTTCTTTTATTCAGAATGAATTTAACAAATGTTAATTTGCTTAATAAAACAGATTATAAATCTTTACCTGAATTCTATAAACAATTAATTAAAACATGGGTAGAAATAAAAGGAGGTCAAACAATCATACCAAGAAACTTTCTTGAGGTTAAAAAACAACTTATATAGGGAAATCATCTTATCAAAGAAAATGGGGAAATGTCTGTTCTTTCAAAACTGGATTAATAGTAATATTTTGTACATCAATAATATATTAGATGAAAACGGATACATCTCATCAAAAACTGTACTAAAAAAATTAAAGAATAAACAAGACTGGATTAGAGAATTTTCATTAGTTAAAATTAGTTGATAAACCAACAGGAGTTTTAATGTGGGAAAGAATTCTTCATAAAAAAAAATGACTACAAAATTGAAGTCCACATTTAACTTTATTTTTAACTACCTTGAAAACAACAAATATAAAATGTTTAAATGGAAAATAATACATTATATATTAGCCTGTAATGATTTACTTTATAAATGGAAAAAAGTACCAAGTGGTTTGTTCTTCCGTTGTAAGCAACATGATGATTATAAACACTTCTTTTTTTCCTGTTCATATACTGTTCATTTTTGGCATAAAGTTGACCAGCTATTATCATTTTTAGGAATTGATAAGCATATACTTAGTCTTGAAAGTTTAGTAACCGGCTATAAAATTGAAGATGAAGCTTATTTTGATATGAACTATCTATTAACTATAATTTTCTTTTCCATCTATAAAGCATATTATATGTCTGACAAGAAAGATAAGGTCATTGATATCTTCAAAATCTTCAAAAATGAAATCTGGGACATTATTAACATAAATAAAATCAGAAGCAAAAAAAACAAGAAAATAATAATTAAAACATGGGAATATTTCGAATTCCTTGAAATGAAATGATAATTATTAGATACAGGTCCTAGCTGTGACCTCATTAATACATAACATTAATACATAAACTGTAAAATTGCTCCCTTTATTACTTTAAATTTGAATTTTCCTTAGAGTTCGGTATTTTTGTTATTTTACGGTTTTTTGATGAATCTGGGAAAACTTTGAATCTATCCCATTAGATCTAAAAACATAGTTTGGTACTTTCTGTCTTCTATTTTAAAACATGACCTTGTTTGATGATATAAACAATACCATTGCCTTTTGATCATCTTTAACAGCTTTACTACCACTAGGAATTGAATCAAATCGGCTGGGTTTTTTTCAGACGTAAATTTGCTAAAGCCTAAAAATGGGGGAAACAGACATTTCCGTAGTTTTGAAGTCTAAAAAATCTAATAAGTTATACCAACTCTGATGTTATTTCAAACATTACATATACTTATATATTAGCCCAATGATTTTATTTAAAGATATTGATGAGTGTGGTTCATCTCCGTGTAACCATGGTATATGTCAGGACCAAATAAATGGATATGTGTGTACTTGCACAAAAGGATACACAGGAGACAACTGTGAGACAGGTAACTGGTATGGCTCTATAAACAGTTAGATGCTAAAAGTAATTCCAACTGTCTTCCCTTGTTTCACTTTTTCAGCTGCCATTCGTTTCAAACACTGAACATGCTCAGCACAATCATCTCCAACTAAGGTTGAAAATAAAGGTTGTATTAATACAGACCCAAAAGAGGTCCAATCATTGTCTAGCTAGACAAAAAACAAACCAGCGATGATTTTAGCCTTTTTTTTACGAAATTAAACCAAATTGTCTGCTAATAGCGACACTATTTAATTATACTATTCCCGATTGTGACATTTTTACTAAGTGCAAATTCACTTGGCGGGTGATAAATGCATCGCAGGAGAAGCTTACCTTGCCAAACAAAACAAAAAATGAGTAAATAGCATGAACTCTAAAAAGAGTGAGACCAGGTGCGTCAACAGGGTAAGCGTCCCCTGTTATGCATGTATCACCCGCTATGCGTATTCACAGTCAGTCAAAATATTGTAATTGGGTATAGGACACAATCGACAATATTGCAGATTATTACAGATATTACAGACGACTATACTGGTATCTAAAGATCTAAGACCGCGAAAACGCTAGTTGAGAAATCGTCACATCGAATGTAGTGTCGATGTCAGTCGTTTTTCCTCATAACTCTGTTGGAATAGTTTTGTGTAAAGAGCACACCCCTGTTACTGTAGTTAGAACATGCACGAACGTAACGTATTAAATGTCATCTATAAACGCCATACGATGGAGCAGAGGGTATGCTATACTGTTATGTAAATTCATACTTATTTTTAAACTAGTATTCCTTATTACTAGGTGCTAAAAATTACACGTGTTTTTTTGTTGTTGTCAAAATTGAAGTCGATCAGTAAATTAAGTGGTGAGAATACTTTTTACTACACTGGACTTCATTTCATAAAAACAAAAATGTTTTTCACCTTCTAGTCACATAATAATGATTTATGTTATGTAATACATACAAAATTTGTCAATCTGAAGCTTAAAATTAAGTTCGATGACTTATATTTGTTATTATTACTTTGATCATATCACAATGAAAACTAAATTTTGGCAACGTTTGTCACGTGAACATTCGATATAGAAATATTGCTTTTTTGTGAATGCAACAATTTTAAAGTCTGTCTGTTCAGGTTCAAAAATTAGAGACAAATATTTTTATAAAGTAGGTATTTTTGTACTATTTTTTATACAATTTTAAGAAAAGTTCATCTCGATTTTTGTACATGTATTTGCGGTCTTCTCGATCTATTCAATGTTTACATCGGGATAAGGTCCGTTTGAATTTGCTTAGTTACTTAATTTCAAAAGTGCTAATCTTTGCTGCATATCAATTGATTTCTTTGGAATTTTTACCCTGAACTTCTCTGATCTAGCTGCATATATATTTTAATCCTGGTATCTATGATGTGTTTATGTAACACTCAGAAACGTGTCCGTCCCTCCAAACGTGTCCGATTCTCCAAAACGTGTCCATACGACGTCACTGAACTACTAAAACATATCTTGTTGCCAAAGGGCGCCAATATGTGTCATGAACACCCAATTGTGTCCGTTTCATTAAAAACGCCCAAACGTTTCCAATCCCGAAACGTGTCCAATTGAAACCTGAACGTCTCCTTTTAGTGAAAGCTTAGTGGTGTCCATATCTTAAAAACGCCAAAACGTGTCCTACCTATTTATTTTAATGTAAATATGTTGTCCTAAACATGCATGCAATATATGCCACTGGACGTAAAACATCCAGCAATCAATCAATCTATAGTCCTAAATATGCATGAAATAAAATTGCCACAAAATATTTAGCAAGCAATGAGTTAATTCATTATTTTCTGTTATTCGATTATTACCTTAATAACAATAAATTTAACGTAATGTGACAGTTAAAAAGATGATGCACATTTAAAATGACTGAAATTCACATCTTATAAGTTACGCATACTGTTTTTAACGTACTTTAACGTTACCTTTAAGTAATACATGTTTTTCAAACGATTATAAATTATGAGGCTGGTATCAGGGATGCTTATGATACATGCAAAGTTATTTCTTTTGTCTATGTCTTTTCAGTGAAATACCGTAAACGTTATTGACATCGCTAAGGACAGATTAGCGCTAAAAGTTTTGAGACGTTGTTGCGTTTAAAAATGGACACGTTTTGGCGAACAACAATTTATTGGACACGTTTGGGGAAGTGAAATCGGACGCGTTTGGGTGATTTGGGATTTTGATGACAAGTTTGGGCGAAATAGACACGTTTGGAGGAATCGGACACGTTTGGGGGAATGGACACGTTTGAGAGTGTTACAAAATACGGATAATTAGCATGTTCCAGAGAGGTATACATCCAGTAGAAAAATAAATTGAAGTTTGTACTCCAGGAATTTATTCGCATAGCAACATTTTAAACCAATTTTACATCAAACTCCTATAACCAGCTGTTCTCGTCGTTTGCTACTTTAGGAGGGATATGATTACATTAAATGGAAGGTTTTTTTATTTCGATTATTTCTATATTTACTATTTACCAGAGTGTTTTCCCGTGAATTTATAATTTGATAGCGTCCTTGCTAAGACGGGACAAACATTGAAAAGATCTAGTTTTCAGTGTTCACAGGGAGGTAATATTTTGTCACTAAACTTCCCACTGACATGACGCTGCACAAGCTTCATACTAACAACTTTTTACTTACAATTAACTTACTTGTTTTACCAGTTAATCAATTTGAAGAGATCAATTTAATCTGCAATTTGGTAAAGTATTTTAGAAAATTTGTATATTGAAACGATAAAGCCTTTGGAAAATGACCGTAATTACTTACAAAAATTAATGGTTTATGGAAAACTTATTGCCCTTCTGTTATTTCAAACAAGAATAAAGCAGACGGACAGGCTATACAATAAGAAAACAATAAGGTAGGGAAAAAATTATTAACAAGACATCATTAAAATCTTACGACTGAGCAGCATGAACTCCAGTTAACCCTTGTATACTATAGAAGGGCAAGTAGTTTCTGTTCCAATAGTAGTATTCGTTCGTCGTCGTTCGTGACAACTAATATCTGGTAGTAAATTGTGTTTGGTAATGTCAAAATATTGTTCTAGAGGATGAAATTCTGTCCAAAAAGAATCCAAGGACCTCTATGTATACAGTTTTCATTGTATGCATGATCTTTTATAGTTGTTATCAAGGTGTTATAATCAAAACTCGTCGTTCATCCGTGATAAATAACTGTTTTGATATGAAGCTAATTAATTAAAGAACTTATAAAGTTCAGAACATAGATAATCCTTATCCTCTCTTCGATATGCACACAACGCAACTTTAAACAAATACAGAAACCTGTGAACTTAAACACAAGACACAATGCGCTATCATCAATGAACTTATTTTGAATATCACATTTTAGATATAAATGAATGCAAATCATCTCCATGTCACCATGGTACTTGCCTAGATCATATTAATGGGTATTTCTGCATATGTGATCCTGGATATAGCGGAGGTGACTGCGGATTTGGTAAGTAATATTGATCATAAAATTTCCACTATTTAGACCCCTTCCAAAGTCAAATTGTTTAGTTCTATTTCTTGGTTAAATATATTCTGACCACCAAAATACTACTTTCAATAAATTTGATTATCTAACACCATCAAATGCTGCGCGTTAGATAGGAGTCCCCTACATGGAATATAAACACTTATAAGGTTCAACATTAGTCTAGAGGTGTTATGTTGCTTCAATATATAAACCTTAAGGCATTCATTAATTCATTCTTAACTATTCTTGATGGATAAACTCTGGTGGACAGTTGTCTCATTGGCAATCATACCACATCTCCTTATTTGTATATTGATTCAATTATAATAACTCAACACACTAAAGATGATTTAACTATCCATGATACTGATCCCTTTTCTAGACGTGTGCTTTGAGTACAAAGACTATTCAAAATCATTACTATAAGTTCCAAACGTAAAGTAAACGCAGATTATTTGGGTTTACTTTCATTTTCTCAGTAGTCAATGCTTCATTTTATATTTATTTAGCTTAATTACGTGTCTTAGTGTTCTTTTTATTTGTCTTTGTATATTTTTAACCTTTACTGTTTAGTACATTTTTGGTAATATCCTTTTGGCGTGGGTCGGTATTTATACATCCCGCCATTGTGTTATTGTGCTATGGTAATTTTTTGTGTTCTTGTCTTTCATTTTTGCTTATATGCTTTTCTATAGAGTGTCTACATGCCATTTTGTTTTCCCTTTTTGACATATAGTTGTTTGTTTTTATAGTGATTAAGATTAATTTAATGTTTTAGGTAACACCTCTTCTAGACATTATTTTGTCATGTGACCGTGACGTCCTCAACTGTCTTCATGATTTACTCCTTAAAAATGGAATTTAGAATTAAATTATAAGGAATGACTGTAAAATTTTTTCAATCTATTCGAAATAACCTCAAAAATGTGGTGCACACTTTTAAATAAACGGCAACGCGGGTTATTCAGTGTGGACCACATTTTTTTATGTTATTGCTTCATAGACAGAAAAAATATTACAGTCATTCCTTAAATGTTGACTGCTGTACACCAATTTTTGACATTTTTTACTATCATGTCTGTTTGTTTTGCTCACTCATTGTTGTCAATATAATTGAATGTTATGCGACTGTCATACAAGTGAGAGGTTTAGCTAGCTATAAAACCAGGTTTAATCCACCATTTTCTACATAAGGAAATGCCTGCACCAAGTCAGGAATATGACAGTTGTTTTCCATTCGTTTGAGGTGTTTGAGCTTTTGATTTTGCCATTTGTTAAGGGACATTCCCGTCTTGAATTTCCCTTGGAGTTCGGTATTTTTGTTATTTTACTTATTTTACTAATTTATACACTTTTTTAATTAATAATCGAATTCCCCGTTCATGAATTAAGAAGGCATTAAGAAACTAAGTGCCTTAGGAAATGTTAACCTTAGATAAATAAGTCTATTCTGTTTAGGTCCTTTTTGGTCATATGGTTCAGAATGTCGATTTGTTGGTTTAAACAATATTTTATTCAATAAAACAAATCATGATAATATACATAAGATAATACTTTATAAACAATTGGATCTAGAAACAAGCAACATTGCTTCTGGATCCAAATGTTTATAATGTATTATCTTATATATATTATTGACGTAGATTTGTTGCTCAGTCTTTAGTTTTCTATGTTGTGTTTTGTATACTGCTGTTTTTCTTTTGGTCTTTTTCTTTTTTTTTTGCAATAACGTGGTCAGTTTATTTTCGACTTATGAGTTTGAATGTTCCTTTGAAATCTTTTGCCTCTCTTTTGCAGAGTTTTTGCGTTTTTACTTTCAAATGTTTAGGTTTTAGTGTTTTTTTTTAGTCAAATCCAGAAATGCGCTTCGGACGCACGACAATTATAAAGTGTTTATTTCATTTAAACATTGTATTGAAGCAAACAGAATTTAGCAATTTCTTCGATCCGATGTCAGTAACTGACATAATTTAAAAAAGAGAAAAATTACGACAATATGTTGAACTTATCAGAGACATTTTTTTAATAGAAAAACAAAGGATATGGGGTATCCATTCATGACACAAATTCAGTACATGCACAGCAAAAAAAAACACATAATAAGCAAAGGAGTATATTTTTCTAAAACGCATTATGAAAACCATCTCATATAGAAATTTATGGTAAACAACATTAGAAGAAATCAATAGAAGTCGGCAAATTTAACATATTCTGTCATGCAATGTGAGTATTCAATCAAATTTTTAAAGGAAAAAAAACTGTTGACATAATGATAAAACATTACGCAATATATGCTAGAAAGACTGAAGGCCCAGATTATTGTCGCTTGAATAAAATGATTTGTTGATATATTTGTAATACAAAATTACATTTAGATATTAGCTTGTAATTTTGACTGATGAAGTTGGACGAAATGTAATTTCGAAATCCAGGTCAAAAGGTAGTGACCGTATAGGCAGCTATAAAAGGCCCTGACTAAGTTTGATTTGTATTAGCTATCTGTGATTTCAGAAAAGAAAATTTGTTTAAAAACGTCATTTGACAATAGACGCCAAATGCTGCCAATTGGTCAAGCTACCTCTTGGGTCAAACGAGTTTAAAAATCTTATTGCAGATAACATCATAGACGGAATTATAGATTTGCTCGACGTATCCACTATCAACCAGACCAGACCCTTAAAGGACATGGGACCCAAATTCAACCAAGATTGTTTTTTATTCAAAATAATTTTATATTGCTGATTGTCATTTTCGACTTGGATTGTAAAATAGCAGTACACAATTGGTGTAGTTCTTTGCTTAAATCTGCAAATCGTGAGACAGATTGGCAATTCATTTGAAAGACAGATAATTTGAATATATAAAAATAATTGATTAATTGCATTATTTCGACTGTTTTAACAAATACCAAACATTTGTTTTTGATCGAATCAATTTTTAAACTTAGCAATTTAAGGTGAGATAACTCTAATTGTAAAATGTTTATAAAGGAATGTTAAAGAAAGTTTCATTTTTTACTTGTAGCAAGAAAACAAGTTCGATTACACACTATTTTATTTCAATTTTCTTAAAGCATATTATAAAACCTATAATCTCATATTTTTTTTCAAAATTTTATCCCGTACATTTCTGTTTATTTACCAATGGTGATTTTTTCATGAGTAATATATGCAAAATTTGGCAATTTTGCACGACTTGTAGCGTGAAAAATAACACGGTGACCCATACTTTTTATTATATTTTTGAAAAAAGCATGGTAAAATCTACATTTTCGCAAAGTATCAGAATATTATATCTGAGGGAATATATACCGATGAAAGAAAATCAGGGCCCGTATGCATAAAACCATATAAGAAATCCAATCGTAGTACTGAGTTATCGTTGCACATGACGAAAAGTCCGTCCGTTCGGAACAAATCTTAACTTAAGTAGCTTTATTCATACGGACCCAGTATAACTCCTGTCTTTACATTGATGTACTACGATTGAGATTATGAAATGCATCACCCTTAATCCCTGTTCCTACAACCAAACCATGTCTGCCTCATGCTATGGAATGAAGTCATTCGGTAATTAAACCAACTCGAATTATGTTCCGATGGTAACTTGCTCAATTTTCTCCACCCGTCACAATGAGAATCTAAACATCTTATATAGTGCACATAAGAATTTTTACATTTCAAATGGTTGTATACATGTTGAATACATGTAATAATGTGAATAAAATTTACTATAAGGAGGGAAAAAGACACTTAAATGTAAACATTTATACCGTAGAAAGGAAGTAGAAACTTAAATTAGACAGACACTAATGTCCAAGATAAAAAGAAGTATCAATTATACAAAGACAAAAGTAAAATGCAAGTTTGAAGAATGTCATTGAGGAAAAGAATTAGAATAATCAGGAATATAATTATGACAACAATTCCCTTCAATATAGTTGGCATTTTGGTTTTCGATACCCTATCTAGTTATATACAGGTATTTTCTTCAAATCATACTCTCATTTCAAACAAGCGTTAACTATAAAAACTTATATTAAACATATAGTTACCCGAAAGGATTTACTTTATTGTGTTGACATGTTTTCTGCTAGTGCGGAAACATATGACCTTTTGATAGTTAATTTTGATAAGCTTTTAAGATATTTGCAGCATACTGTTCCATTCTTTCCGTTGGTTGATAAAGTCTAATGTTTGATTTTTACAGTTTTTATGGACTTACCAATTTTTGAATTTAACTTGGAGTTCGGTATTTTTTATTAAAACTTTTTTTTTGTAACTCTATTTGGTTGAACCGTCAGAATTTGTTGTTTCACGTGACTTATTTATGATAGCGTTAGATTAAATAAAATATTTTCAATTGTTTGTGAAGGATTAAACATTTAAAATTTGATACCACAATATCCGAACTTCATGGTGATATATGATTTACACTGACAGTCATAAACTTCAAACTCCAATTTTCCTTATATTCTCTATATGTTTCTATGAACGACATAAGTTTCGAATTATTGAAATGCTTCATTTGTTGATTGTAACTCTTTTCGTTCCTTATATTTGGTGTGATAATGAATGTTTTAAGGAAATTATTTTTTGTGATTTCGGAATTCATTTACTTTGGACAAAGTGCGCTCATCCTTGTGAAGGGGTCATAAAAAGGGCAATATTAATGTGCTGTGCTACTTTCAGTAGAAACGATTGTTTGAAAATGTGTATTAAGACATTAAAAGACATATTAGAGGAAAGACCTTGTGCACAAAGATAGGGTAAGCGTTTCCTGCTATGCAAGCATCACCCTTCGTGAGTCACAATCAAGAATAGGACAAAATCGGTAAAATTACGAGTAAGACGACTCTTTTGGTATCTAAAGATCTTAGACAGCGAAAACATGTCACTAGAGATTTGACTCAAAGACACATCATATTTGTCAACAAATCGTGATGGTGACCGTAAAACTCACATACTGATGATTTCCGT